AAGAGCGTATATAAAATAGCTTGAATAAATTTCAGTAACACCTGTTTGTTTCCTCCTCGACATTTCTTAGGAAAGCAAGCAGAGGAATTAATATTGGAGTAGATTTGGGGGAGTGACCGTTAGGGTGAGATCGATATATATAGACTACTGGATTTGTTAGAATGTATTAGATCTCAGTGAGAGATCACAGAGGAGAGAAAACCAGAAGGGGTCCATGAGGGAGTGAAAAGGGAAAAGACTCTGAGAGAACATAAAGTTGAAACAAAAGTTTATAGTATACCCACAAATAGATTTATTATTGTGTAAATGATGAGATTAACCACTTGAGTAGACTTGGGCATTCAGTCATTCTTCTGTTCTTATATTCATCAATTATAGAATGCTCCCGCTAAGCCAAGGGTTGGTACTGAAGTGCCATCTGGACATAAATGATAAATGTTAAATAACTTACACAGTAAACGTCATGATTTTGAAATTGTTCAGAAATTCAATCTGAATTATCCAATGATCTAAATTAGAGAATATTTAAAATGTTGTCTTTTAAAAAAATATTTATTTATTTAGGTTGCACTGGGTCTTAGTTGTGGCATGCAGGAATCTTTCAGCTGGTGGCACGCGAACTCTTAGTTGCAGCATGCATGTGGGATCTAGTTCCCTAACCAGGGATCGAATCCGGGCCCCCTGCATTGGGAGTGCAGAGTCTTACCCCCTGAACCACCATGGAAGTCCCTAAAAATGTTGTCTTCTTTTTTGTGTTTTACTTCCAGCGCACACAGTAAGTCAGTTTAGTTCAGTAAAAGTTGCCAAGAAATGGACTTTATCTAATGAAATTATTAAAAAGAAAAAAAAAACTTTAATTGCATTATGTGATCTTTTTCTGTATAAATATGTACTTATGATTTTATCCTCTTTGAGTAAGTTAGGCATTGGTCTATTACAATTCTGATTATAATCCTGATTAACTTTATACATCCTTTTCTCAGAGTGATTATGGAGACAAACTCCAGATCTGATTGATTTGCTACAGATTTCACATTCCTATTACTTTGGTGTGAATTATTTTGTACACCAGTATGTTAAATTTTATGCTTTGTCCTAGGACCAGACAAGTCCTACAGGTAACTTGAGTTTACAGGTATGGGCAGTAGTCAACAACCATGTCTAGGCATCTACCGCAAACAATATGCTACCACCCCACCATACTTTCTCCTTGCCCTGGAAAAACCTCCTTCTTTCTTCATTCAAAGTATAGTCCACTGATGCAAGAGAATTTTCACACCCTTGATATATCTGATCCTTCCCCTCAGTATCTAGTTCTCCTTGCAGGGTCATGTCATTCACCTGCCATCATCAAAGGAAACAGATGTTCTAGTAGCCCCGGTCCTTTGGTCTTTCTTCCTCCTAACATGGGACAAACACCACCCACCCAAAGAAATGTTATATTTAAACCTTTGTCTAAGCCAACCCTTCATCTCTAAAAGCTCAGAAGAATCCTGCCAGGGATTGTGAAGCTTGTTGGCAGCAGTGGGTGGGGATGGGTGCTCTTTTCCTTGCACTCTCGGCATAGAGTTATGTAATCCTCCCATCTCCATTTGGCACTCGAAGCTCATTTTCCCATTGATACTGGGAACCACAGAATTGTGTGTTTTGTTGTTCATCCAGCACTTAACCATTTTTTTTTCCTTGGCAAAATGGGTCCCAAGTTTTAAACAGCTCAGTTACAAATTAGTGGTAAAACATTATTGGTTTATTATCTGGGACTCTTTATTAGCCTCCATATAAAACAACTTGATTTATATAAATTTAATGTGTAGTAAAAACAAAATTAATTGAACTCCACCAATCTTGAATTTGTGACAGTTTGGATTCCAATCCTTCAAGTTCTTTTTTTAAAAAAAACAAAAGATCTTCCTTCCTTTCCTCACATAATCTCTAAGAGTGAATCTACCTTTTAAGTTGATGAAATGTAGCAGATAAACTCTTTGAATATTCTGGTGTGGGCAAGGTAGGTGTCAGCACAGTAAGAGCCTCCTTAGGCTTGTACTCTGGTGGAGTTTGATAAGGATTCCTAAACATATGCCTTTATTTCAAATGCCCTTGGCTAATCATTTGTGTAAATAAGAGGGGTGAGCATAACATGTGAATGTGTGTATGTGTATTTGTGCATTTACTTGTATGGACATGGAATATTTAGGGAAA